GCCGGGAGAGGAGCGAACCACACAGGTCCGCTGCTGAGCTGTGTCGGGGCTGCGGCACCTGCAGCAGTCGGGAGCTGGCCCTGTCCTGCTGTCCCTGAGCTTGGGCCCCTTGGAAGCAGGAATTGTTCTTTTCCACCCCACAATGGCACCACTTGGGAAGTAATGGGGGCAGCAGCATGTAGGTGCTACACTGAGTGTGGAGGCTTCACCTGGGCTGAGCTTGGCTTCACAGATCACAAATCTCAGATAGTCCAGGCTTTTTCTCACCAGATTTTTTTTCGTCCTCAACCCTTAATGCTACTGGAGAAGAAAAAGGTGTTTTCTCCTTATTGATTTGTATTCCAAGTTTCCTTTTACTTCCTTTTGGACTTCTTCATGCTTTCATTTAAAGCTCATGAATTCTGGAGTAGGTGCCTAAATGTCACCTTGGGCCACAGATGTCCCTGGTGTTTGGTCACTCTCTAAGCCCGAGGTGAATGTTTCACTCTCAGAGGCTTTGGTGGCAGTGTGTCTGTAATCCCTGTGCTGGCTGGAGTGTGAATGTGCCCAGGAGTACCAGAAAGAAGAACTTGCATTTCTGGGGTGTTCCTGAGCAGTTCCACTGCCGAGAGCCCTCGTACCCTGCCCTGGTGTTGGCTCTGAGCGAGCCCTCAGCACCAGCCTCAGCCTCAGGGGCTTTGGGCACTGCCTGGGGGTCCAGGAATATCCCCTATGTCACACACCAGTGGCTGTGGGAGCTCTGGGAAGGCCTTGGTAGCTTTACTGAGGCATGAGAGGCACTGGCTTCTGCTGTGCCTGCCTTGTCCTGTGTGGGGAGGTGATGTCCCTTCAGGCAGCAGTGATGCAGTGTCAGCCCCTGCCCACGTGTCCCCTACCTGCCTGTCCCCTGCCCAACCCCCAGGCCAGCAGCCATCCCTTCCCTTGGCCTTGCCCCCCTTTCCATTGTTTTGGCTAAGTGTGTGCCCTTTCTTGCAGGATTTGAAATTCCTGACGGAGATGCAGAGAAGCTGATGTGCCCACAGGAGATTGTAGATTACATTGCAGATAAGAAGGATGTTTATGAATGAAGCAGTTCCTCAGGGCTGAGTGAGTGCAGACATACTCTGGGCGTGCCTGGGTGCACACAGGGGCAGGGCAGGGTGACGTGTGACACTGCAGAGCCAGTGGGGAGCCTGGCACTTTGTGAGGGAGCTGGCAGCAGCTGTGGGTGCCAGCGGGGAGAGCAAGGGGGTTGTATTTTCCTGAGGGTGAGGGGGTGTTTTCCTTAGGCACCTGCAGCTGGAGGGAGTGTGTGGGGCTCAGAGGCCTCTCCTCTTGTCCCACCTAACATGTCAAGCTCTCGGCTCACTCTGGGGCTGTAGTGGATGGTGAATAGGCTTCGGCCATGGCAGCCCATCTCCCCGTGCCCCTCGGCCCTGCAGAGGGGGTGTGGGGGCACCTCAGCCCCCCCGGCCACTGCCACCGCTGTCTCTTCCCCCACAGCCACAGCCGGGAAGGAAATGGGCAGGAAAGGGTTATAGGAGCGACAGCCTGAGGGCTGCAGGGGAAATGAGGTGGCCTCGGGCCAGCCGGCAGTGCTGATCCACATTCCTGCCTGTTCCTGTGTGGCTCTGGGCCTCCCCCCACGCTCCCCGGGGCAGGGGGCCTGTGTCCTTTCACTGCTTTGGGCCAGGGTTTGAGCCATGGCCTTTGGAGAGAGATGGGGGCTCCTTCTGTGCCTGTGTTTGGTGCTCAGCATGTCCTGCCCCTGCCTACCCACTTCTGTGCCTTCAGATGGTTCATGAAATGTTAAACATGGATTCTGTGTTCCCAGGAGCTGTCCCACACCAGGCCTGGGCTGGTGCCGGCGCGGATGGATGGGAGCGCACACGCTGTCCCGCTGGGGCTTTCATCTGGAAGCTGCACGTGGATGTTGTATTTAAAGCTGTCTGAATGTGTTGTCCTTTAAAAAACAAGAAAAAAACAGGAATAAACAGTTAAGACCATTGTTGTGTTGGTGGCTGTTCTTTTCCACACAGTGGGTGGGTCCCTGTGTCAGTGTTTGGGTGTGAAGGACTCACTGGGGATCAGGGACTGACAGCTCTGGAATTGTTCTTCCCTGCCCCAGGATTTGGCTCTGTCCTGCTTGCCCATAACTGTTTATTTCATCAGTGCTGGTAAAAACAAGTTCTGTGTGATAGGCTTCTATTTTCCAGATGGAAAATAAAGGGGGGAATGACTTTCCTGCTGCTGAACAGCAAATTCATATTGGTGTTTCTGTATGCCTGACTCATCCCAGTGCAGGAGCCTTGCTTTGACCCTCCTGAGGCAGGAATGGGTTATTTCTGCACACTGTACTGTGTTTCCTCTGAGCAAAGAAACACTTTCACATGTCACAGCAGCACTGCCAGGCCAGGAGCCAAGGAAGTGTCACTGGGTAACAGAACTTCTGGCAATGGGGAGGTGAGGATGGAAAATGGAGCAGAGGCTGTGTGTGGTGGAGTGTTCCTGGGGTGTTCTCAGTAGCTGCACTTTACTATGAGACTCTCAGTAGGCAAGTGACCCTCTGCCTTCGGGGCCCCGATGTCAATCCCGCTGTGAGCAAGACCTGTGTCCTGGGGAACTCCTTCACAGCTCCACACTCCAGCTGTGCTCTGACACATTTTCTGAGCAGTTGCATGGTGGAACTGGGGGCAGGCAGTGGTTTTGGTCACTGTGTCCATGATGGTTTCCCTGTGGCATGGCTGTGAGGTGCCTGCTCAGAGGCTGTGCTGGTGCTGGGGTGGTCACTGGGTTCTCTCCGTGTGACCCTGAGGGATGTGAGGAACCCGCAGTCAGAGCAGCCAGCGGTGCCCTTGGGGAGCCTTTGCCCTGGGCATGTCCCCAGGTTCCCGGGGACAGCCAGGGACAGAGCAGGGGCAGAGCCGGGCCCGGGCAGCCCCGAACGCGCGTCCCGGGGATGAACCCGTGGGAGGCGGGCGGGAGCCCCCCGAGCCCCCCGAGCCCCGGCCCAGCGCTGAGCCCGCTGCGGGGCGATGGGGCCGAGCCGCAGCCGCAGCCCCGCACCTGGGGCGGCCGGCGGGGGCCGGGCCGAGCCCCTCGGGGTGGGTCGCAGTGCAGAGCACCGGCCCGTCCGCCCCGGGGCGGAGGGAGCTCCGGTGCCGTGGGGCGGGCCCGGGCCGGGGGCTGCGGTTCCCGGCGCCTCCGCCCCGCCGCAGCGGGGGCGGGCGGGGGCTTCCTGCCGCCGCCTGGCAGAGCCGCCCGCGCCGCGCCATGGAGCGGCCCCGGCTCCCGCTGCCCCGGCTCCCGCTGCCCCGGCTCCTGGCCGCCGCAGGTGAGCGACGGGGGTGGGCACGGCCGCGAAGGGGCCCCGGTCCCGCTGGTTCCCGGGCGGGGGATGCTGCGCTCGGGGGGCGGCGGCGGGGCCGGTGAGTGCCGGCGGCCCGGGGGTCTGCGGTGGGGCCGGGTCCCCGCTGGGGTGGGGAGCAGCGGCTGCTGCTCGGTGTCACCAGGACCCGCTCGGGGCGGGCACCCCGGGGGAGGCGGGTGAGAGCCGCGGTCGCTGCCGTGCCGTGGCCGTTCCGTGCCGGGCTGTGCCACCGGCCCGGGCGGCTCCGTGGCCTCGAAGGCGGCGGGTGCTGCGCCCGGGGGAGCCCCGGTGAGCCGCTGGCGGAGAGCGGGGCCCGGGGGGGCTCGAAGTGACCTCCGTTCCAGCCCCGGCCCCACCCGGGCGGTGACCACCGCCCGTTCTCTCTGGAGAGGGGCTGCCGCGGGCCCCGGAGCCCTGCCCGGAGCCCTCCCCCGGGCGCTGGGGTCTTGCCCTGCCCGCGGACCCGCTGGTGCCGGCGTTGGCACATGGCGGCTCTGCGGGAGGGTGGTCGGGTTTGGGCAACCCGGGGGCTCCCAGCACAGCCGGAGTGTGGCGGTGGGGCAGGACTTGGCACCGTTCGTTGGGACCGGGGCAGGTGGTTCCCGGCTGGGTTTGGGTTGTTCCAGAGCGTCTCCTTCGGCAGAGCTGCCCGCGGTTTACGGAGGGGAGGGAGCGAGCCCCCCACCCTCGCCGGCGGCTCCGGGGGTGCCGCGCCCCGTAGCCGGTGCTGGTGCAGGATGCCCGGTGCTTGGTGCTCGGACCGATGGGCGCTGCTCCCTCCCCTCTCAGTGCTCGTGGAATGCTGCGCGCGGCTCTGCCCCGCTCTGGGCAGCGGGACGGGCTCCACACCGGGCACTGCCGACCCCTGCGCCCGCCTGGGGACCGCGGCGGGGGAGCGCTGCCGGACAGGTACCCCCGGGGCTGGGACCGTCCCACTGCGTGCCAGCCGCGTGTGTGGGTGGCACGATGGGGCCAAGGGTGCCGCCCTGGCAGCTGTGGGGTGCTGAGCATGGGTTAGCCCTGCTCAGTGCCCCCAACTCTGCCCCTGCCCGCAGATCACCCAGAGCGAGGAGCTGGCGCGGGGCAGGCGCCAACACCGGAGACCTTGGGGCAGCTGTGGACAGAGGCTGAGCTGCTGCCCTTCCCTGGGACTCCTGCCAGGACAGCCGAGCCCTCCGGCCCCCAGGGGAGCCCTAGAGGCCCCCGGACGGGCGGGGAGGGAACAGGGCCAGCGGCGTGGGGTGGAACAGCCACTGAGCACCCGGGGCCCCCCGTGTCTGCAGGCACCACCGAGCAGGCAGCTGCAGGAAGCGAGCTGGGGGTGACCAGTGCAGGAGCCCCAGCCCCTGTGCAGCCAGACACAGATCCTGCCACCACGGACCCCCTCGGGACTGACCCTGTAGGACATGTGACAGTGGAAGGTGCAACGACCGTGCAGGGGACCCCTTTGCATTCACCGCCCTCCATGGCAGTACCGGCTTCTGCTGGGGGACAGAGGGGATCCCCCAACACCCTGAAGGGATGGAAGTCCGTGGGGACAGTCCTTGTGCAGAGCCGGAGGGGCTCACACAGCTCCTTGTCCCCTGAGCTGTGGGCTGGGGAGGGCCCGGGTGCCACTGTCCCGCTGGGTAAGAGGAGCCCAGGGACCCACCCAACCACCACGCTGGCCACTGACAGCCCAGTGCTGGGGACAACAGGGATGTCACCCTTTGGAGAGGGGTTGCAGAAGCTGCTGACCCCCACAGGGGCACTGTGGGGGACACACCAGGGGCTGCCAGGGCCAGGGCTGGCAGGAGGACAGGGCTCTGCCTCCCGCCCATGGCAGGGTCCCCACTCTGCCCCTCACCCCTCTGCGCTGTCCCTGGGGGCTGCTGGCCATGAGGGGCCTGCAGCCAGCACAGCCTGGCCAGCCGTGGGCACAGGCCCAGCCTCACTGCCTGCCACAGGCAGGGGGTTGGGTCTGCCTGTCCCCACCACCACAGCTGGCACCCCAGGGGTGACTTCCTCTGTCCCAGGGGGAGCCCTAGACCAGACCACAGGAGTCTTGGGGCCACCTGACAGGGAGGGTTCCCCTGAGCACAGTCACATCCCCCTGAACCCACCAGCTGTGCCAGGGCAGTCCCCAGCCCCTCTGGCCCCCAGCAGCAGTGCTGTGGTGCAGAGCGGGGTGACTCATGCCAGTCCTGGGTCCCCCCATGTCCCCCTGTCCCCACAGCCCTCCCCAGCCAGTGGGGCAGTGACCCTGCTGCCAACCCTGCTGTCTTCCCCAGGGACTGGCTGGGGGGTCCTGGGGCTTGCCCCTGCTGTGGGCACCCCCCCAGGAGACCCCTCCCCAAGGCTTCCCCACATTGACTCGAGGGTGGGTCCTGCTGAGAGCCCCCAGATCCGGGAGGGGACCCAGGTGGGAGTGGGCAGCCTGGCCCCTCCCTCAGCCTCTAGGCCCTCCCAGCAGCCACCTTCATCCCAGCCTGCATCTTCCCTGGGACCGACCACCTCTGCTGGCATCACTGCCACTGCTGTGGCCGCCACCATCACAGCCAGCACCATCACAGCCAGCACCATCACAGCCAGCACTGCCAGCCCAGAGCTGCCCAGGAATGTGGGAATGGTCACACCAGAACCTGGTGCTGCTGTACTGCAGAGGGATGTGGCAGGGCTGACGTGGGGGCCCCCAACTCATGTGCCCACTGTGATGCCCGGGGCCCCCCAGCAGCCCACCAGTCCTGATGGGACCCTGGGCCATCGTGGGGGCCCCAGGTCCCCTCCAGCTGTGGAGGACACGGACCTGGCCCAGCCATCGAGCAGCCCCGTAGGGCGGCCGGACACTGATGCCCCCCGATTGATGCCAGCTGGGGCGGGCAGGGCCCCGCAGGTGTTCATTGTGGAAGATCAGCCCCCGCTCCTGAGAGGTGAGTCTGGGGGTTTGGGACCCTCTCCTGGAACATGGTGGGAGGGGGAGAGGCCCTGGGAGCCACCAACATGGGGGGGTCAGTGGTGGTGGCCCCTGGGGTGGGGCCATGTCATGCTGGTCCCCATCTCCTCCTGCAGCATCCCTCCTGCGTGTCCCCTGCGAGCTGGTGCTGGACATGGGGTTCGTCCCGGCCCTGCAGGACCCCGGGTCCCGCGAGCACCAGGAGCTGCTGCACAGCTTCAACCAGACGGTGAGTGCAGGGGGGCTGGGGGCTGCGGGTTGGGGGCCATTGCACTCAGTTCCCCCCCTGTGCAGGTCACCCCCCTCTTCACATCGGTGCCCGGGTTCCTGCGGCTGGAGGTGACGGGGATCAGGTGGGTGCTGGTGCAGTCCCACAGCACGTGATGCTCCCTGGCATGGGGGTGCAGGGACTGTCACATGCTGCGGGGTCATGGCAGTGCTGGGGAGGTGCTGGGCACGGGGTCTGCCCCCACGAGCTCCGAGCGGGTGTCCCTGCAGGGAGGGCAGTGTGGTGCTGCAGTACGACGCGCTGTTCGCGGGGGAGCAGGTGCCGGTGCTGGGGCTGGACACGCTCCTCGAGGCCACGCTGGGCTCCGGTGGCACTCGACCAGGGCTGGTGGTGGAAACAGCCCCCGTCCTGCGCCACGAGGCTCTGGGTGAGTGTGGGGCAGGTATGGGGCTGCACCATCACCGACCCTCCCCTG